AAAAAAAAAAAAAAAAGCGCACAGGCTTTTTTCTTATTCTTTTCTTAAAAAAAAAAAATCCACTTTATTGCTAACCAGACTTAAATTCCCACTCTAGAAAGAAAACCTTATGTTATTAAACTGACTTCTTTGGTAACCAGGTTCAAGCAACAAACCTTACCAGAATAAGACAAAGAATGGCAGTTTGCTTGCTGAACTTAAAAGGACTCTGTGACTTGTATCTGAATTCTAGTTTGCTCCAACTTCATTCCTCTAAAATTAGATATGCCTTTACATAGGACAGTCCAATACTTCAATTTTTGCTTTAGCAGTAGAAAAATAAATGTGGCAAGGATAGATTCAGAGTTTAATAGATCCCGATGGAACCTAAACTCTGCTGCCTCTGTGTGATCTCCGGCAAAGCCCCTTTCCTCTTAAAGCTTTGCTTGTTCACCTTGAAAGTGGGCATAACACCACCACCTACTTTACAGGACTGTCAGAATTAAATGCATTCTTGCATGCAAACAGCCTGATTTAGAAAATGTTTCCTCTTATTAGCTTGTAATTCTTTAAATAGGAATTGCCGAAGGGCTTATTCAAAATGATGTAGTGAAAAAACACAACAAAAACAAACAAACAAACAAAAACCTCTACATCTCTGTTTCCTTCCATTCTCTTCTGTGACCAGCTGTAGGGAAATCCTCATAGAGGCGGTGGCCCTCAGCTCTGTTCTTTTTCTGTTTGAAGCTGCCAGGCAGAGGCTAGTATTCCAGAACCTTGGATAGATCCATGCTCAGTCACTCTGCCACTAAGGAGCCAACAGTCTGAGGAGCTACAGCAACCTGGGAATTTTCCCAGCAAGGCTGCATTAAAGCAAGGATTCTCCCAATGTGAATGCTATCACTTGTGTGCACACTCACACTGTCATTCATGCTCCTATTCTTCAACCTGGCCAGCCTTCCCTCCTGGATTTTTTAAGGGGCCTCTTCTCAGAAAGTTGTAACTCCACCCATAAGAGTGTTTCAAATTTAGAGTTCCTTTCTTCTTTCCTACGAGCTTCAAGATTTTTTTGAGCCTCCAAAGAACAAAAACATCTCCCACATCTTCCTGTATTTAATTTGTTGACTTTAGTACAAATATTGAACATTTTTGTTTTGGTTCAGTTTTTGGCTTTTTTGAAACAGGGTTTTTCTGTGTATCCCTGGCTGTCCTGGAACTATGTAGACCAGGCTGGCCTTGAACTTAGAGATCTGCCAGCCTCTGACTCCTCAGTGCTGTGATTAAAGGCATGTGCCACCATTGCACAGATGGATTAAACATTCTTTTTGTTTGTTTGTTTGGATTTTTGAAGACAGGGTTTCTTTGTGTAGCTTTGTAGACCAGGCTGGCCTCAAACTCACAGAGATCTGTCTGCCTCTGCCTCATAGTGCTGGGATTAAAGGCATGCACCACCATTGTCAGGCTTTTCTCTTTCTCTCTCTCTCTCTCTGATTAAACATTCTTGATTAACCTCAAGTAGAAGCAATAACACATGCACATGAGGAAATGTTTCAGAAGACAAAGATTCGGGAATGAATGAAAAAAAACATAAAATAATTTTATCGCCTGTGGATGATGTTAAGCACTCTTCTCTAATCGGGATAATCAGGTGGTTCAACTTATGAGGTGATTTAGCTTTTCACTCACCAATGCAGAATACAACACACTATATGCAGTCACCTTCTGAGCAGGCGAGGAAGAAATTAAGCCCTATTTTTACTTTATGATACTGAGTCACATAGTTCAATGCAAATCATTTGGGTGCCAGAGTAAGAACAATGCCAGGTATTTAAATACCTTCCCTTTGAGGAGCTCTAACAATTCTGTGACAGTGTGAAAGTCTTTCAGAGCAACTCCAGAAGAGACATATGTCACCAGGCAGGCATTTAGGAATGTGTATGTCTCATCCATCTTCCCCCCACTCCAGCTCTTAGGGAAAGCCAGTGCTCAAGAGCCTTTTGTATTTAGTAATAGCCTCCAGATGTCTGAAGTTTCTAAGCCACAATGTCACTGAGGAAAATAAGGCTTGGTTTTGAAAACATGTCACTGACTGCTTTAATAAGGAGAAAGATAAAAAGATAAAAAGTGGGATTTGAGAGGAAGGGAAGAGTAAAGGAAGGTAGGGGAGAGACCAGAAAGGTACCTCAACTTCCCAGACCTTAATAGCTATTTTCTATGCATTGTCCTAATAAATGGATTTGATGCCTTTTCTCAACTGTAAAGAGACATGAAGGCTTTCAGATTCACTTTTCCATGTGGATGAAGACAGTAGCAGTTTTATTGCTTGATGCCATTTGAAGGAACCATAGACAAAACTGCATCTTTGGGGAAGAAGGTGTCTCAGTAGCTTAATAGGTATCTAGGTCCTGGTCCATCCTCAACACTATGAAACAAACAACAAAACATCTACTCCAAAAGTAAACAGGAAATTACCCCTAACAGAAAGGTGTGTAGTTTTACCTTTAAAAATGCCTACACCAACTCCAAGCCTTTCTACATTACAGGGGGGAGTGAGTAGTGGTTGTCAAATTGTGCTTTGGTTTAACTTCCTTCCAGCAGAGGTCACTGTAGATGCTGGCAGTGGATACTTAAGGGAAAAGGACTGGGTAGGCTTGGTTAACTGGTGGCTCCACTGCCTGGTGCCACAGCCAATCATCTATCCCCTTAATTTATGTGAAGGAGATTATCTTGAAAAGTGATGGTGGTAGTGAAACTGGGGTCAATTGCCGGGACTGATCAGGTCTGAGAGGGTGTGTTCATCTTCTAGGAGTATTCATACAATCTCATTATAGAGCCCAGGCTGAGCCCTACCCCATGGCAATCCTTCTGCCTCAGCCCCCCCCCCCATTTTTCTTTTCTTTTCAAGTATTGAGATTACAGGCATGTGGCTGCCATGCCTGGTTTATACCTGGTATCTCTGAGTCTCCATTTGTGATTACTATTAACCCTAGCTTTATAGCCCTTCCAGACTTTACTGATAGGCCTCCCAAACCTTACTGGCAGTCAGTAGTAGTGGTAGGGCAGATTCTGGATATTAGGTTAGCTCACTACAGCATGATAAGGCGCTCCAGGGAATGAGAACTGATTGTGATGTTAGGGTCAGATTTAGGGTCTCAAAAGGCTGAAAAGGGGCAGCATCCTTGCCAAGTTTCACTGACTGGAACATATTCCATCCTTTAGCTGAGACCTTAGGCAGTTTAAAACTGCCTCCATCCTGAAGGCACACATTTGGACCTTAGGTCAACAGTGTGGTTTCAGAATTGAAAGGATGACTCTCTTGTTCCCTTCTATCTCAAGCTTAGTTCCTCTTCTTCCTCCTTCTCTCCACTCCTCCCTCCCCCTGCCATATGTATAGGCTCACCACAGCATGGCACACACGTGAACACCGGAGCATGAACGGACACATTCACTCAGTCACACACATTTTCACTCACACTCTGACCCACACTATTACCAATAAGAACACACCCAGCCACAGAACCAAATTTGACTTATTATAGCTAATAGGACATGAGGTTGAGTGGGTCCTATCAACATGCCTCTTCAGACCTGGTTCATGCATGTCTCCCAAACCTCTACCCTTCGCATAAGGTAGAGACCCTGGTCATCCCAGTCCTCGTGGTCACAAGTCCTGGCTCTGATAACCATTGCGCACACCGCATTCCTGGGACAGGATTGACAGTGGCGTTCGGACTGTGAAGGAGGGGTGGCTAGAGAAGAGTGTATGGTATAGAACCCAGCACAGCACAGCCACCTCCTCCCTCGGGATTTTCCATGCCTGCTCGCGCGGGCCCGCGAGGAGCGAGCGCGCTTTGTTTCTCTCTCCCAGCTCCTGGCACGTTTCCGTGGAAGCTACCCGTGCCGCGCCCGAAGCCCCCCTTCCCCAGCCGCGCCCCTCGCGCAGCCCAGCTAAGCACGCTTGTCAGTGCTGCGATCGCCGCTTTGTCCTCCAGCGAATGCCTGGGTAGAGCGCGAAAGCCTGGCACCTGAGAGCAGCCACTGCACGCCGGGTGCCAGATCCCCGCGGCCAGATCTGGAGCGCGCTCGGCATGCAGCGGAGCATCTCTCCAGGATCCGCGAACGCGGAGGACATCGCCTGGAGCTGTGGGTTACCGGAGAGGGAGACCACCGGGTCTTGCCCCTGAGGTGTCCATCTAGATCTGACTCCTGGCCTTGGTGCTAAAGCTCTAATCCCCGGGGCGTGGCGGGGCAGGGAGGCTGATCTCCACTCTGTACTGCCTGGGACCTGGATCTAGGTAGAGAGGGCCTGGGAGATAAGACCCAGGTAGGGAGGGGTCCCTTATACTCTCACTTCCATCCACCTTCCACACCCAGGCTCCTTAGGCGCGGCTCCATCACAGAAGACCGGAGCATCCCTCAGTGTTTTCCTTTATGAGAGCTTAGAGTAGGGTGGGGAGGGGTCCTCCGGCCTCTCACTTTCTCCATTCCTCAAAAACAAATGCTCCACAAAAAATCCAACTAGGTGCAAGAGGTATCCATTTCCTAGGATGCAAAGGAGAGCAAGGGTCTCTCACAACTCGAAATCTAAGAGAGTCTAAGAGGAGGGGAGGAGTCTTTCTTGTCCATCACATCCCAGTCCCCTTTTGCAACCTCAAGCCGCTGGGGTGTTATAGCGAAGGGTTCCCCTGTCTCCAAACCTCTCATCGCAGAACACTCTTTCCATCCTCAATAACTCAAGCAGCTTGGACTTTAGACACAGGGAAAGAGAGACTCCATGCCTTTTTCATGCTCTCCCAGGAGAGACGAGAGAGGAGGGTCTTCCAGCCCTCGTCCCTTACATTCAAGGAGCCCTTTCACTACAGCCTAGGCTGCTCCAACCTCAGGCACTGGGCCACGAGAGGCCCGCAGTCAGTCCTCAAGCTCCACGGACAGATGGTGTTGAGTGCGGCGAGGACACGTCCCGTCAACTCCCCAGACCCCCCTCTCCTCAATAAAACAAAAGCGAGTCCTGTAGCACCCACCTCAGACGGCGCTCAGGAGGGCGCTCAGCGCGGGGCAGCGCACGCGGCGCCTCCCAGCTCCTCGCGACCCGGGCTTCCCAGCGGCGGTTCTCGCGGCAGTGACGGCTGCAGCGGCCGCGGCTCTGGCATCCGGAGCCTCCCTCGGACTCAGCACCTGGAGCGGCGAACAGCTCCGCGCCTCATTCCGCTGACTCCGCCTTCTCCGCGCCACCGTAGCCAATGGCCATGCAGGCTCCGCCCAGGAGGCTGCCCATTGGGAGGTTCCGGCCCCTCCGTTAAGACCTTGTCCCCAGAGACCGCCCGAGTGTTTGCTCTGCCTGCTGGAACGTGTAGTCTCTTAGGGCCTTGGAGTGGGCTCGTGCCGCGGGTTGGTGAGCAGAGACGGACTGCATTTCCCAGAGTGCATTGAGGAGCCTTAGGCGCGGAGGAGGGTGGGAGGACTGTTTCCATAGCAAAGTCGGCCCCGAAGGGTAGGGGTGGCGAAGAAGTGGGGCAGGTCCCGGACCCGCGCAGGAATACACGTGACCTGGGATACCCTCTTCGGTGGCGGGTTTGGTTCTCTTTTTCTCTCTGTTCCTACCTGAGGACACTGGGCCTCAGTTTCCCTTTCTAGGAAGACGGGTAACGAGACGGCCTAGCTCCCACACTCGGTGGAGCCAAATGAGAGCGAGCCGCTTTGGTTCTTACCCACTAGAGATGGAGAAGGATACAAAGGAGACCTTCACACGGCATTCTGAACTTTATTTTTTGCCTTAATCCTGATAGTGCAGGGTTTTACTTCTTGGTCACATTTCTTCCGTCAGTTGTCCCCACATTTTTGCCAACCCGATGTTGTAGCGTCTCCTTCACTGCTTTTTGATAGAGTGAGCTATTTCTGCCGAGAACCCTTCACAGGCTTCCTGGGGACTCTGGGATCAAATACACATCCCACAGCAAAGCTGGAAAATCCGTTGAGAATTAGACTCTACCCTCTTTTGCATCGTTCTTAAGTTTGAAACCTGGCAAGCCTTGAACATCCGTTTTCTCTCACTCCTGTGGTCCCTTCCATCTATCTTGTCTTCCTCCAACTCCTCAACACCCTAAAGCCCCAGGTTAGATGTTGCCTTGATGTGTGAAGAGTTCCTTAATGTTCTGCCTAGTGTTGTACATCTCTGTGTGTTTGAGTGTCAGCCTCTACTTCCTCTATTTTATTTGCATGTTCACACACTCATGTTCCTCCTGTATTATTCATATTTACAGTCCCGTGTCTACAACATCTGACATATAGTAGGCATTCAATAAATGTTGAGATTTACCCATATTTACTGAAAATGAACAGTTTAACTGACTTTGGCACACACCTCCAAAATCAGGTGTTTCCCATGCTAAAGATGTTCACTAGAAGGATATTAATGGTTGAAAAGAAAAAGTTTAAATGCTATTCATACTGTTAGAATTGGTTGGGATTTTGCCTGCACATCCTGAGGGTCCTTCTACGTATACACACACACACACACACACACACACACACACACACACACACACACACACACACACACCATGCTATTCATGTCAATTCACCACTAAATGTCATCAGTCTTTTATGCTCCTCCATAATGTTGGTTCTTCTTTATATGTCTAAATGCATACCTCCCACTCCCTTTCTGGGAAGATCATCTCTCACCTGTCACTCATGAAATAAGGTGCTGGCTATCCTTTAAACCCTGTGTTCAGCATCATAGGACTCCATGATGATTTCCTACCTTGCTAGGTAATTTCCTCCCTACTCTCCACTAAAGATTCTGACATTGACTAGATGTCCCATTAATTCCATGCATATTTTGTCACCATCCCAGAAGTTTAGGGTGTATGACAACAATGCCATTCTGAAAAGAATGTCTTAATATGCAAGTTTAATTAATTCATGTGGGAAAGGAAGTAACTAGGAAGACTACTACTCTGAATGGAGCCTGAGAGAAAGGAAGCCTGCCACCCTTGTACCAGTGATAGCTGCAGAGCAAAGACTAGAGCCGAGGGATGGATAGAATGTCAACTCTTCCCTAACACGACTAAGAAGCATTGCCGAAAGGCCTTGATCGTGGCTGAATGATGAAGGAGGGGCACTGGAGCTGAGTTAACAGATGGGGCCTTACTGCCAAGGATGAGAAAATTCCATGGAAAAGAGGGAAATGGGATGTGTTGAAGGCCAGTGCCTCAGTCTGTGGATACAGTAGGAGCAAAGGCTGTTGGGAAATTAGGTAAAAGGACTATGTCACATAGTAGGCATCAGCAGAAGGCTACTGAGGCCACCAGGAGCCTGAGGTGAAGCACTTTGGAGGTCAATTGAGTTCTTCAAAAGTAGTGCTAGGGCAGGAAATTAGAGTAATGACAAAATACCTACTTACCGTATACAAGGTCCAGTGTCTAACCTCATTTTCAGAAATGGTTAGAAATAGGAAAAAGGTAAGGTTCCTGGATTCTACTCATCGCCCCTATGAGTGCCAAAATAGAATCTGCTATAGGCAGGAAGCCAGATTCTAATCCTGATTTGCCTCTGATTAGGTCTGTGATGCTAGGCTGGACCTGTTTCTTCAGCTATAAAATGCTATTTACTGGTGTTGGATGGAAGCTAATAAGGGTATAGGTGGGGAAATTCAAACCCATTTACTAGCTGTATGAGCTCATAGAAAGTACTTTGTAGGGTTTGTAGTTTTCTTATTTGAAAATGTTGCAAGGAATAGATAAGTTGCCTTAGTAAAGTATTTCACCTGCATTAAGTCTCAACAATTTCTTTTATGGGTGCAGTGAACTTTATTGATGGTATTCAAGAAAGTAGGGCTCCCTAAGCCCCTCCTGTTATTCTGGGAACCACATGGTAGGAGACAAGAAACTCCTGCAAACTCTGACCTAAACGTTCTAACTATATCATGAAAATACATACATGCACACGAGCACACATGAACTAAAATACAATTTTTGAAAGGTAAATGGGGACACCTACTAAGAGGAACAGAATAAAGAAAAGTGAGGGGTTGAAGCATAGAGGAAACTCAGCAAGAGAGTGAGGTGAAGTTTGGAGTGAGACTGAGATGGCAGAAAAATACTTTCCTATAACATGGGAGGGGGAGACAGGAACTGGAGGTGGCCTTGTGTAGTAGCTTGGCTACTGTTTCTGCTTAAATACTGGAATCAAGGATGTGTGCTCAAGAGCTCAGTGGTAGGAGGTTGAGTAGAATGGGAAATTTGAAGTGAAGAAATGCTCAAGGTAGCTGCTGTGGAAAAGGGAAGAAAAACTAATAGTGATCTCCAGAGGCTTCAGGGCAGTAACAGGACCTTCAGAAGTCAAGGACCACGAGCTTGTGGGAATCTTTGGAAGCATGAACTTTCTCTAGCCTCCCACCAGTGCTGGGAAAGGTATAATGAGGCTGATCCAGAGTTAGGCTTTGTTAGACAAGAAAGAGAATCAAGGGATTTAGAGACACAAGAGAGGTGAAAGCTGCAGTTCACCCAGTGGAAGCAAAGCAGGATGGAGTGGACAGATGGGGCAATGGGGTTGTTGGTGAGTGGGGGCACCGATGTGGTCATTACAGGGAAGATGATGCTATGCTGGCCAGAGGTGGAGTAGCTCTGGGCAGGAAGAGGGATTGTGGGATTGAAAACCAAGCTTGTTTGATTACTTACTGAAGGTCTGTGTCAAGATAATTGCTTTGAAGGAGACATCTCTGTTCCAAACTGTCCAGTGAGTGGGAAGTTAAATGATAGCAAGGAGCATGGATGAAGTGCAGAGCTCTGATGTGAGCTGCACAGAAACCAAGAGACAGTAAGAGGAAGTCCTCTTATCTAACGTTTGTGAGTGTGGAGAAAGAGAAGCAGTGAGCTTTTGAAGCGATTTCACAGAATTATTGTGTCAACATCATCTACCCATGATCAGTTTTATGCACACCTAAAAGGCAGAATGTCTAGGAATAAAATTAGCCAGTTGAAAATGCAGCTCTAGACTTCATGGTGGTGCTGTATCAACCAAGTTCAGTGATAGTGATTCCTATAATTTATGTTTCAGGATAGTTTGTGGATTTAAGTATGCACATCTCAACTAGAAAATGTGTTTAAGAAACATATTTAATTTTTTTTCAAATTTCATTTCTTAGCAACGAGTTGTTTTCTGAATTTGGAACATAAATTAGAGAACTTGTGTTGATTTTTTCCCCCAAATGTAGAGCTTAGAGCTTAATTCATGCCTTTGAAATGCCATGAATTTGAAATGCAGCCATTTTCCTCTCTACATCCTTGAAAGGGATTACAAGGACTTTATTAGTTTTTCAAATAATCTTGCCAGCACATTCAGACTTCCCACGAGGGTCTCCTTCAGTAATGTTGAACTGTGAATGATGGTGCTACAGATGTGCTATGTGTGGGATTTCTAAGAGCAGTCGAACAGGCAGACAACTTTAGAATTTCCCAGACAGCAGCTTGGTATAAAATCATGTGACCTGACACAGCATATGAAACATGCTTCTAAATGTGAATTGAGAAACACATTCCTCTAATGTCTACAGATATAAGAGAAAGATCAGTTAATTGCTTTGAAGAATCTATTTTTAAAACATTATTTTTAAATGGTTATTTATTTATTTTATATTGTTTTTAATGTGCCTACATGTGTTGTGTGTATATCACATGTGTACAGGTGCCCCCAACACACACACATATGTACACACACACACACACACACACACTTTTGTCATTGTCTGTATTTTTTCCAATCTTAACCTTCTAGTGACCCACTAGAATGAACACATTTCATCTACTCTGTTGCATTCATAGTATATAGAACAGTACCAAGTACATAACAGGTGCTCAGCAAAACATTTGGAATGACTAACAATACATTATCATAATACATGATGTTAACATGTTTTTAATTTTTTCAAGTTATAATTCACATCTAAAATACATGTACAGCCTTTCATATTCTGAAAATTATGGCTTATACACATTATTAATGATGGTATTTTGTTATGGGAGCATTTTTTCCATTGCTTAAATTTGCTTGATCAGTTGCTGTGTGTTCACTTAGGCATTCAAAGAGAAGTCCTTGTGCCCTGGACAGTACAAGGCTGCCTTGAGGAACAATTCTTTACAGATATTATTTGTAATGATGGCCTGAG